GGCTGATCTTTGTCTGCTGATTTACATTTTTCCTAAGGTCCTGTGGAATCACAACAGGCTGGTCTGAAGTCATAGAACCTTCCAGAGATGCCATCTAGAACCCTGGTAGTGACACTCGCCACTTTTCACTGGATTCTTTTGTGACTTTAAGCTGAAGCTCCTTCTGATGGTGGGATGCTTCAGAGCTCAATATAAGCCCTGATGAGATCTTCTGTGATGCAAGTGTCCCTTTTGGTCCATGTGGTGGAGGGTTTGGTCCCCACAGTGGCAGTACTGGGAGGGGGTAGAACCTCAAGGGGTAGGGCCTCTTGAGTCTTTGGGTCCCTGGGGGAATGCCTCAAAAGGGATTACAGTAGTTCTTGTAGGACCCCTGTAGTTCTCATGAGAAGACTGTTATAAAAGGACCAAGCCTGGTGCCAGCCCCTCTCTTACAGACTGAAGATGTGATCTTTCCCCCCATATGCTCTACCATCACCATCTGCTGTGGAACCAGAGTCTGTACTGTGCCACTTGGAATTTTAGCCTCCAAAACTGAGCCAAATAAACCTTTTTTTTTTTTTTTTAATATTTATTTATTTATTTATTTATTTATTTATTTATTTTGTGTGTGTGGCCAGCTCAGCCCACCAGGGGGCAGGCTGGCTGGCATGTGGTGCTGGGGGTTTGAACCGTGGTCCCTGTGCTTTGCTCAGCTTAGCTTGTTCTAAGTAGGTGCTTTAGACCACCGAGCCATCTCACCAGCCAAACCTTTCTTATAAAATTAGCTATCTCAAATATTTTGTTATGGTAACAAAAACTAATGCAGAGATAGATAGATTTGATGGTATAGGGAAGAGACACAAGCTTTTAGAGTTGTTTTGATGAAAGGCTCTAATAGTTACCTACTTGATGCAGAGAAAAGCCAAATGTTTATGGACACCGAATGACTGACTGGAGATGCTGCAAGAAATCAAGTGGCCATGAACCCCACCAACACAGTTTTTGATACTAAGCATTTGATTGGACATAGACTTGATGATGCTGTTGTCCAGTCTGATATGAAGCACTGGCCTTTCATGGTGGTGAATGATGCAGGCAGGCCCGCGGTTCAAGTAGAATACAAAAGAGAGCTTCTACCCAGAGGAGGTGTCTTGTATGGTGCTGACAAAGATGAAGGAGATAGCAGAAGCTTATCTAGAGAAGACTGTTACCAGTGCTGTGGTCACTGTGCCAGATTACTTTAATGACTCTCAGCATCAGGCAACCAAAGATACTGGAACCATTGCTCGTCTTAACACATTTAGAATTATCAACAAACCAACAACTGCTGCTATTGCTTATGGCTTAGACAAAAAGATTGGAGCTGAAAGAAATATGCTGATTTTTGACTTAGGAGGTGGCACTTTTGATGCGTCAGTCCTCACTATTGAAGATGGAATCTTTGGAATGAAATCTACAACTGGAGATACCCACTTAGGTGGAAAAGGTTTTGACAATCGAATGGTCAATCATTTTATTGCTGAATTCAAGCGCAAGCACAAGAAGGACATCAGTGAGAACAAAAGAGCTGTCTGCTGTCTCTGTACTGAATGTGAGCAAGCTAAGAGAACCCTCTCCTCCAGCACCTGAGCCAGTATTGAGATTGATTCCCTCTATGAAGGAATCAACCTCTGCACCTCCATTCCTCGTGCTCGGTTTGAAGAGCTGAATGCTGACCTGTTCCATGACACTGTGGGCCCTGTGGAGAAGGCTCTTCGAGATGCTAAACTGGACAAGTCTCAGATCCATGATATTGTCCTAGCGGGTGGTTCTACCCATATCTCCAAGATCCAGAAGCTTTTGTAAGACCTCTTCAATGGAAAAGAATTGAATAAGAGCATCAATCCTGATGAGGCTGTTGCTTATGGTGCAGCTGTTCAGGCAGCCATCTTATCTGGAGACAAGTCTGAAAATGTCCAAGATTTGCTACTGTTAGATGTCACTCCTCTTTCTCTTGGTATTAAAACTGCTGGTGGCATCATGACAGTCGTCATCAAGTGCAATGCCACCATTCCTACCAAACAGACCCAGACCTTCACTGCCTACTCGGACAACCAACCTACTCTGCTCATTCAGGTATATGAAGGTGAGAGAGCCACAACCAAGAATAACAACCTGCTTGGCAAGTTTGAACTCACAGGAATACCTCCTGCACCCCGTGGTGTTCCTCAGATTGAAGTAACTTTTGATATTGATGCCTGTGGCATCCTCAATGTTTCTACAGTCGATAAAAGTACAGGAAAAGAAAACAAGATTACCATCGCTAATGATAAGGGCCGTTTGAGCAAGGAGGACATAGAGCGTATGGTCCAGGAAGCAGAGAAGTACAAAGCTGAAGATGAGAAGCAAAGGGACAAAGTGTCCTCTAAGAATTCATTGGAGTCCTATGCTTTCAATATGAAAGCAACTGTTGAGAAGGACAAACTTCAAGGCAAGATGAAGATAAACAGAAGATTCTTGACAAGTGTAATGAGATCATCAGCTGACTGGATAAGAATCAGACTACAGAGAAAAAGAATTTGAACATGGGCAGAAGGAGCACAAGAAAGTCTGCAATCCCATCATTACCAAGCTGTGCCAGCATGCAGGTGGCTGCCTGGAGGGATGCCTGGGGCTTCCCTGGTAGAGGAGCCCCTCCCTCTGGTGTGCTGCCTCCAGGCCCACCATTGAAGAGGTGGATTAAGCCAACCCTAAATATAAATATAGCATTCTTCCACAACCAATAAGATTGAAGGACCTAAATTTGTAGTAAATTCTTGGCAGTTGAAGTTGAACTGCTATAGTAAAGTACTGGGCATTCTCAATACTAGAATAATGGAACATGAACACAGGGAAACATAGCATGGCACTTTAAGCACTGTGCTATAAGTGACAATGCAACGTCTTCAATAAAAATATTTAAATTGGCAAAAAATTATATTCTCTGGTGAAATTTCTCTCTCTCTCTCTCTCTCTCTCTCTCTCTCTCTCTCTCTCTCTCTCTCTTTGTTTTCTACAGTTCTCTTATTCTTTATATCTCTGCCTCCCCTGCCCCATTTTGAAGGTACTGCTCTACATCCTCAGTTCTTTATAATTTTTTATTTAGAGACAGGTCTTACTAGGTGGATAAATTACCCAGGCTGGATTCAAACTCTCCATCCTCCTGCCTCAGCCTCCCATAGTGATGGGATCACAGACATATGCTGCCACGCCTGCCTCCCTCTTTTCATCCTTTTTATTTATTTTGGCCAGCATCTCTCAGCATGCACTGTGATCACAAAGACCAAGAACTGGCAGGGAACTGGCAGTTTAGAGGAGACAAGTAGGGTGTGTGTGTGTGTGTGTGTGTGTGTGTGTGTGTAACCGGGGCACCCACTTTCCAGTGAAAGAATCAGAGAAATCTTGCTTCTTCAAGAGGTAATAACCTGATTATCATCTGAAGGCCTGAATGTATTGATTAGTACCTAACTATATAGCTATATAGGTGCTGTATTCATTAGTACCTATCGATATAGCTGTATTGCTTTTACAGTTCAATATGTTATGGTTTGGGTCTGGAGGTCCCCCCTAAAGCCTCATGTGGTCATATGGCTTTTTCAGAGTGGCTGAATCCAGTGTGTGTGATGCTAGGATTAAGCATGTGTGCTTAGTAAATCAGTCCACTGATTGGCTTGGCATAGTGCTGGCCAGGATTAAGAGAGTGCATGCTCCATGCATCCTAGAGTGGGCAGCCTGCATACGTTATAAGGGACAGAAGGAGTCCTGTCTCTCCCCTTTGTTGATTTGGTTGTCTTTTGCTTCCTTGAATGGTTGCCCTTCTGTCATGTGCCACACTGCATTGGAGCCCGATGATGATGTGGTGAAACCTCTACAGACTGTGAGCTAACTAAACCTTTTCCCTCCTTTAACTTTGGCTGTTGAGTATTTTGTCTCAGCAACAAGAGAAAACTTACTAAGACAGTAACTAATATTAAATGTTAGTAAATAATATTACTAATTAGTAATTAGTAAAAATAAGTAACTAATATTAAATATTTATACAGTAAGAACTATACAGTGCATTCTAAAAGCCTTTACAAGGCAGTCTTCATTTTAAGTGATTCATTATGCAGACTTTTTATTAATTAAAGGTTGACAAATCCCAAACACAGAACATCTTCCTAGGTTCTTGAGGATCCTAAGATGGAGATGACGATATTCCAGATTCAAAGATAAATGATCTCATGGAAGCAGGTGATTCATAGCAAGCTTATAGAAACACAAATTTAGTAACCAGGGAGTTATAGGAGTGAGAAATTAATCCTCATGATTTTTGGAAGAAGAAGAGTTTGAACTGAAATTTGACAAATGAGTAGAAATTTAAACAATAGATCAAGGGGCCGGTGAGATAGCTCAGTGGACTAAAGCTCCTGCTTAGGCAAGTGCAGGGAACTTAGTTCAATCCCAGGGCCACATGTCCCTCAGCACACTGAACTGGCCACAGAGTCCAAGCATAGTGGCAAACGCCTGCAATCCCAGCACTGGGAAGGCTGAAAACAGGAGGATCAACTCTGATATGGACATGTAATTGCCATTTTTATTACAGAGAGGGCTTGGGTTTTGGAGTTCTTTTGGTTTGCTTTTTTGTTTTGAGGTAAACAAAATAAACTGGTATGAGATTTAAGGTCTCTGGATTTATCTATATCTTATTCTAGTTAATACCACAGCTTAAATTCTTCAACAGTTTGAGATTTTCACTTTTTTTTTCCACTGGAAACACAGTTGTGATTTTATGATCAGAAAAATGATGCTCACTGTAACTTAGCTTAGGGCATAGCCATTGCTAAGGTCCAGGTTATCAGACTCCAAGATCAACAAGTTCATGCCAATGACTACTCACAGGCCGCTACCCAGCACGTAGGACCTGGCAGATGTGGCTGTATTGTGTCGTATGTCTGCAGGGCATTCTGTGGTGCCATCCTGTGGTCATAACACTAAACTAGATCATGCTTTGTTCTCTCTAGGAAGGCGCTTTTGTCTACTTGTCCTTAGTAGGAACTGTTGCCAATTCCAATGGCTTGATTGCATCTTTATGTAAGTAATTAAAAACATTTGCATTTGAAATGTCAGAAATTATTTCCAAATGTGATTGCCAATGAAATGAATGCCCCATCACATACTATATGATTCTATGTCTATGAAATATCCAGAATAAGGTGACTGTAGACACAGATAAGAGATTAGAGGTTGCCTAGGACTGGGGTGAGGGGAGGAACTGCTAATGGGTCAGTTTCTTTTAGGGGTAGTGCAATGGTCTAAGTTTGACTGTGGTGCTTCATTTTTTTTATTTATTTATTAATTTTTTGTATTTTAGGGAAGGGTCTACAGGGTGTGTGTTCGGGGTCCCACTACTAGATCAGACTCATAGTGATCCACCTGTTTACAGCCTCCCAAGAGCTGGGATTATAGGCATGTGCCCCCACACCCAGTCTCAATTGCCATCTCAGCATGCCCCAGGGGTGGGGCCGGCATGGCAGGCCCAGGGATTGAGTCCTCAACCTTGGTGCTTCAAACCTGCGGGTATCTCAAAGCCCATTCTTAAAGCTATAACTTATTGCACAGGTACTGCTTTACCTTGGTCTTATCCATCTAGTAGAAAAGTATGAAGATGAAATATAGGAAGTAAAGCCATGCTGTTATGTTGAGCTGTGGGGGACTCAGGTCAATAATTTCTGACATTGCCAGTTAAACAGAAGACCCAATGCTATTATGGGCTACTGGACTCTTTTGGAATATTTTGCTGAGTTTACATGCCTCTAATATTCAATAACGGAACTTAGAAAAAATGGGGTATACTGATGAATGTCCATTTTGTATCTGTGTATTCAAAGTGGTTAGGATAGATATATAGTTGCATTCTCTTAATGAATAGAATGATTTGTTCTAATGGTGTTTGTAAATAGGATCACAAGTCCACATCTTGTACAGCAATTAACCACTAAGAAGAATATATGCAGTGTGTTATTTGTTGAAACTGTACTTCCAATTTGATTTGAAACTGTCTCATTGCTGTTTATCAATAAAATTTTGGGGAAAAAAAAAAGCCCGTTCTTTAGACAGAGTAGTTGTATGGCATGTGAAACTATGTATTAAAAAACACATATGAATGCAGATTGAAGCATTTGCAGCATTTAACCTGGGTAAATTTTTTTCATACTTTTAATAACAACTTTCTTTTCCTTGTATATCAATATTGGTATTCTTTTTTATATATTTAGTATAGGGTCTAGAGGGTCTCACTATATAGCTCGGACTCCTAGTGATTCTCCTGTTTTTAACCTCCCAAGTGCTGGGATTACAGGCATGTGCCACCACACCCAGTCTCAATTGCCATTTCAGCATGCCTCCCCCTGGGAGGCAGGGGCCGCACAGCTTGTGGTGCCAGGGATCAAACCCCAGCCCCTGAGCTCTGCATAAGAAGGCGCTTTAGTCTGCTGAGCTATTAGGCAGGCACAATAATGGTATTCTTATAGTTGCCCTAACTCCTTCTGCCTGTGGTTTTTAACTAGTTTTTCCTGCTTCTTCATGCCTTGGGTAAGTCAGCCAGTATTGAGTCCATTAGTGTGGGCTGCCCACTGTGTCCACTGTAGATACAGACAAGTAAATGGCCACCTAGCAAGCAGCATCTTTTGTAAAACTGCCTTTCTCAGGATAGCTGCTTTCAGATTCTCTACTGTAATTCTACACTGTTTATCACACCACCGCC